GGAACTCTTATTTGTAAGTGTATAAAAAGATTTTACAAACTCTTTTATTATCATTTATTTATAACAAGTAAATAAATATAAACGCACATACATTTAAGCATAAATACCGGTTTTGTATCTTTAAGGATACTCTTCAGTTTCTAAAATAGATGTTCTCTGATGAGACCTACTTAACAATAAAAAAAATATTCCTGCATTTTCTTACCTTAACATTTATGTATGTTTTAAACTCCCTCTGTATTAGTCACACAGAGTAAACATAATTGTGTGTGAAACTGTGGTATTAATCACACAGTATACAGGTAATTATGTGTGAAATTATGGTATTGGTCATACAGTGTACACGTAATTGTGTGTAATATTATGGTATTGGTCATACAATATACACATAATTGTGTGTGAAGCTGTGGTATTGGTCATACAATGTATACATAATTGTGTGAAACTATGATATTGGTCATACAGTGTACATGTAATTGTGTGTGAAACTATGATATTGGTCATACAGTGTACATGTAATTGTGTGTGAAACTATGGTATTGGTCATACAATGTACATGTAATTGTGTGTGAAACTATGATATTGGTCATACAATGTACATGTAATTGTGTGTGAAGCTGTGGTATTGGTCATACAATGTATACATAATTGTGTGAAACTATGATATTGGTCATACAGTGTACATGTAATTGTGTGTGAAACTATGGTATTGGTCATACAGTGTACATGTAATTGTGTGTGAAACTATGGTATTGGTCATACAGTGTACATGTAATTGTGTGTGAATCTGCACTACTTATCATCTTAAGTTACAAACATAAAATAATAATATTTTTCTAAATTATTGTAGATTCTCACATGCATCAGGTTAGCCCATAATAAATTACCTTTTTTTGTTGATTACCCATTTTCACACCACATACATACCAATTTGGTAATGTGTCTAGTAAATTCATTGACTTCAATAAATTCTGATTGAGGTGTTTAAGATTTTTAAGGGAACTAATAGTTTTGGTGCATCATTTTTTTTCTGTACTTAATAGTTAGAATGGTAGGACTAGGGGACACAAATATAAATTTTGAGAGAGAAGGAGTCATCTTCAGCTAAGACAGCTGTATTCTTCTGACAGGGTGATTGGCCTTTGGAATGGATTGCCTACTGATGTGCTTATTAAATATTTGTATCATAAGTGGTGGCTTTGAGTATTTTATTTTTATTTTAGAGTTTAATATAGTAGATGGAATGACCTAGGTGGAACAAGGTCCCTTGTTCGTAACATAAATATAGATTTAAGTGTTTGGGGTAATTTACTAGGCATATTGATAAACATTAACCTGTTGTTTTGATTGTAATATCCACAAGTGAGTCTGTTGATTTAATTTTCACTCGTTTTTAACATTCTCTACAAGATTAACACTCAATTATTTTTAGCTTTTTTTGATAAACACATGCATCACGAAATTTTTTTTTTACATCTAGTGTAGAGTATTTACCTCACCTTCGAAATATTAATATTGTTTACGTTGACTTTTTTTTTGTGCAGAGACAAGAATGTTGTCTAATCCACCAGTGTTTGATGTCACAAAATCCGAAAAGTTTGATCCCATGCCTAGTGAGCTGTTATGCTTTCCACCAATTATCACCCACACCGCGGCTACACCACAAGGTTCACCAAATACTACTTTGGAACCATTAGTGCGAGATTTAAATAATAAATATTCTCAATTTACAGCTCTTAACATCAGCAGCTCCTCAATTGACTCAATTGATAAATCTCCAGTAAGTATTTGTTTTTCAGTTACAGATATAGGTCCATATATATGTAACACATATATACATGTGTTTTTAAAGATTGTAAGAACATCTTTAACAAAAACATTTCATTAAAGAAGTGTATAAGTTTATATTATTTCTAATTTTAATATCCATCTCCTTTTTCATCTTTGTACAATAATTCTGAGATTTAAACTATTTATAAATTTCACTTCTTCATATTTAGAGACCACAGGTTGTCTAACCCTAAGATTGTCACATATCCTCCCTTATTTTTATGCTATAT